ATGTTGAGAGGGAGCATACTTTCGAGGGGGATAGAGAAAGAATGAATGATGATGTTGAGGGGGAGCATCAAAATATTAATCCAATTATTGAGGGGGAGCAAGTTGGAAATAATACAAATGTTTCATATGATCAAACTGATACTTTTCATTATATTAATGATAATTTTTCGAATGCAAGTGAAGTATCTAAAACTGAAGAAACATTCGAAGGTGCACCATTGGATTTTGATCCTTCATATCCTCCGATGGATAAATGGATTAAAAGGCATCCGAAATAATATGTTTTAGGAAATCCACATGAAGGAGTGTAAACTAGAGCTCAATTATGTGCAAAGAATGAGGTACTTAATGTAAATATAGAATTTTACATGTTCAATGTTTTTATTTTGAAAATTGAACCGAAAACAGTCAAGATTGCTATGGAAGATCTTGATTGGGTTGTTTCTATGCAATTTGAATTGGATAAATTTGAACGAAATAAAGTTTGGCATAGTTCCTAAACCAAAAGATGTATTAGTAATAGGATTAAAATGGATCTTTAAAAATAAAACTGAGAAAGAAGGCAATGTTGTTCGAAATAAAGTTAGACTTGTAGTTAAAGGTTATTCGCAACAAGAAGGTATAGATTATGAGGAAACCTTCACCCTGTCTCAAGACTCAAGGCAATTCAAATATTTTTGGCCTATGCAGCAGACGAAGATTTTGATGTTTATCAAATAGATGTCAAATGTGCTTTTCTCAATGGAGAACTTGAAGAAATAGTATATGTTTAACAACCTCCAGGTTTTGTTAACGAAAAATTTCCTGATCATTGTTATATCTTAGACAAAGCTGTTTATGGGTTAAAGCAAAAACCAAGAGCCTGGTATGCTACTCTTACCAATTTCTTAAGGCAATCAAATTTTAAACAAGCATTAGTTGATCCCATTCTCTTTCGAAAGAAAGTTGGTGATCATCTCATTCTTGATTAAATCAATGTCGATGATATTATTTTTGGTTCTACTAACCCTGTTTTGTCAAAATAATTTGAAATTTTGATGAAAAACCAGTTTGAGATGAGCATGATGGGAAAAATCAACAACTTTCTTGGGTTAAATATTCGTCAAAGCAGAGAGAGAGAGAGAGAGAGAGAGAGAGAGTATTCATTAATCAAGAAAAGTATACACGAAATCTGCTTGAAAAGTTCAATATGACGAATAACTCAAAGCTCAGAGTACCAATGATAGTTGGAACAAAACTAACTCCTTCGACAGATAAACCAGCTATTGATCTGACATTGTACTGAAGCATAATACGTTCATTACTTTATCTTACAGCAAGTCGACCTGATATCATGTTTTCACTGTGAAATTGTGTCAACTATCAGTCAAATCCCAGGGTACCACATCTCACTGCAGTCAAAAATACTTTTTGTTATCTTAAAGGAACAATATCCTTCAAAAACATGGTTTTTTATTCAAGGATTTTTAGATGCTAATTTTGGAGGTTGTAATCTTGATCGAAAAAGCACAAGTGGTGGATGTCAACTATTGGATGAGAAGTTAGTAAGCTGGCAATCAAAAAAGCAAAATGTGTTTTGATTTCCACAGTAGAAGCAGAATATGTTGCTGCTGCAGCTTGTACTTCACAAATCATTTGGATACAAAGTCAATTACGTGATTATGCAATCAACATAAAGAAAACTACATTTTATTGTGACTCACAATGTGTCATTCGCATCCACCATAACCCTGTGCAACAGTCGAAAACAAAAACACATTGGTCGGCATTATCATTTTATAAAGGATCATGTTGATGAAGGAAACATAGAAGTACATTTTGTAAAGACAACTGATCAGCTTGCTGATATCTTTACAAAACCTTTAGATGAGAAATCTTTTGTAAGATTCATGAATGGCTTAGGAATGTTGGATGCAAATTTAGTTCCTAGTACATTCATTAGAATGACAAGTCAAAAGTTTCGAAAATATGTCAATTCAGTGGTTATTGTTCATGATTCAGCGGTTACTATTCATAGTCAACGCTTCGACATGCTTCATTTTCATAAATTGGGCACATGGGCTTTTCTTAAAGTTTTGTTAGTTTTTTCTTTTCTTAAATTTTTTTGGTTTTGTCATTTCTTAAATTTTCGTTAGTTTTGTTATTTCTTAAATTTTCGTTAATTTTGTTTTCCAATTTCAAAAATTCCAATAATACCAAAATGATTTTTTCGTTACTTTTATATTTTTTTATCAAATCAAAAACTCCAAAAATATTTTCTTTTTTGTATTTTGATATTTTTATTCAAAAATTCAAAAACTCAAAAATGAAAATCCAATTTTTTTTTTTTGTTTTTGTTTTGTAGTGTAGGAATTTATGAAGATTTTTTGGAGGTTCATGCTTGCTGCTTCAGGGAAAGGTAAACTTTCAAAACTATGTCCTAGTTAGGATGGCCCTAGAAACATGCTACAACATGTTGACCCAAGCCTCCATGATTCAATGGGTTACGAAAGCTTAATGAACTTCTCATTCTGAGGATTCTTCCCAATCAGGCTATATTCTCATTTATCACTGAACTACCTTACTCTTCTCATATGAGTTAAGAGTTTACTGCTTGGTCCAAACATAGCAGAGGTGCTTTCGTTTCATAAACCAATTATTTTTAATACTAACATTCTTACACATTCACACACAATGACATATATCCAAGAGATTTCTGGTAGCAACCAATCAGGATCTAGACATATCAAAAATATGTGCTTACGATCTAACATCATGAGACCATGATGAAAGTGAAACCCAAACTTATGAAACAAAAGGAACTGACATGGAACTTAGTTCCAGATTTTAACGAAACTTTTGTTTCTATACCTATTTTTGATACTCAAAAACATATTCTTTCTTTTGTTATAATCTTGATCAAATGTTCGAAACCACGACATTTGTTACCCAACAAGATTCAAGAATATTTTTATTAAATAATATGTTTTTCGATTGAGTATCATTATTCACATTCATTACTTGAAAATTTTGTCCAACGCTTACTTGTCCCTGACTACACTGGTCAAACAAGTAATTTCGTTTACAACTTGTCACTCTTATGTTTAGATGTGTTGTGTAACGAAATTTTAAGCCACCCTTGAAAACCTGATAAAAGAAGCCCTTCGATACTTCTCAACAAGTATTTGATTGTAATTCACAGGAAACTACACAAGCTGTTAATCATCTTTCTTGATGAATAATGAAGTGATCTTTTCCTAGGATATAACTGCATTCATGTCACATATGTTTGACATCACAAATCCAATTTTTTCTTTTGCCTCTAATCTTCTTCTTTGGCACACATTGCACTGATTAAATCCTTGAGGTTCTGAGTAAAACCAACTCAGGCTGATGATTTCGCAAGTCTGGCACATGAATTTGCTTTTAAACCCAAAAGTGCAAGAGCCCATCCTCAATACCGAAGGTTACTGACGGTTCTTGTTCTCTTGGGGCACGCTATCTGGCTATGAGAAGTGTTGTTTGGTGTTCCAACCCGGTATTCAAGAACAAAAAGTGAAGCTATAAAGTACACACATGCCTACTTTTTTGGAGACTGGTGTTATTTTCTAGGGAACACGTCAGCGACATTGAATACGGTGACCTCTTCAAATTCAAACTTATCTTCTACTATAAAAAGGGTTTTAGAGGATCAATTCCAACATTACGCATACTTCAAATTCTTCAGTAATTGATTTCCTTATTCTCTCTGATTTCTTCAAGAACACAAAACCCTAACAATGGCGGCCAATCAATCCCAAACCACTCAAGAAATTACCTCTCATCCAATCATGAAGATACAAAGTAGAAATTATCATGTTCTTGGTGTTCTTGATGCTTATCCAGAGGAATTACGAATGCTCATAGTTGCTCTTCATCATTATGTCTTATTCATTGCAATGTTTAAATCCTTTGTAGCTCCTCCTTCCTGGTTGTCACTTGCTGGTTCCACTGCAACTTACAACAACATGATGCAGATTGTCACTTTTCAACTCACGAATGACAAGAAATTCAGGTTATCCAAGAAGATACTTACTCAAATTCTGAATATCCCTAGTGTTGAACCTTTTTACAAGGTTAACAATGCTCAAATCATTCACATTTTTTAATGAGATGAGTCATTAACCAGTGATTACAAAGATTATTGATTTCAAGAAATTGGGTCTACCTTGCTTGTGGAATTTTATGTTTGGCATCTATCTTCGATGTTTAACCGGAAGAACCGTTGGGTTAGACAAGGGTATATTAGAAGTCTATGCAATGGTTGATAACATTTACTACGAATTGCAAGTAGATTACGCATCTCAGCTTTGGAAGGTATTTCTCAATAGTGTTGAGAACACGAATGTTGTTGATGGGGTTTTGTGTGCTCGATCTTGGAGCTTGATATTGGAGTTTGTTTACGCGAAGGAATGGATTCAGGTTTTTGATACTGATGAAGTGGATGAGTTTTCTACATACCATTATCCAAAGACAGTAGAAGATAATGCATAAATTTTTCCGAATGTAGCTCGAATTTCTGATGTGATGCTTCAAAAGGTTGATCTTTTCAATCCTATTTTGGTCAAATAATTGACCAAAATTAATCCTTCATGAAACCGGAAAGTTTTTGGATATATCTGCTGAAGGCTCGTTGAAAAGAAAAGAGGGTCCAAGAAGAAAATTCAGGATAGTTCTCCTCCTACTAGTCCTGCAAAAGTTTCGAAGAAAAGTTCTAAGGGGGACAAAGCTTCGAAGAAATAGGATCCACTGGTTATTGTAACAAAGCCTGTTGTAACTGAAAATGTTGATCCTTTAAAGGAAGTAGTACCTTCGAATACAAGAGTTATTAGATGTCTTAAGAAGATGGCTCATCGTTCTCGTCGTTCACTCGAAAGGTCATCTAGTTTCTCACCTTCCTATATTCACAAGCCACAATTTAACAGTAAAGGGGTGATAATTCGTGAAACTCGTACACCCATGTATCCAGCCTCAAAGAAAAGATGCGACGAAGACACGGCCAAGCATATTTCGAAGAAACAGAAAGGCCAAAGAAACAACGAAAGTTGGTTATCCATGAAACTTCCACGGATGATGAAGTGGTTCCTGACACACCACCTACAACAACAATTTTGAGCCATTCTTCACCTGTGAGGGATTCTCCAGTCAATTCTAACTCAGAGGAGACTAGAAATGTTAATCACAATGTGAAAACTTCTCAATTAGACACAACCATCAATCATAGTGAAAAATAAATGAATTTGACTACTAAGGAGAAGAAGTTCATACCACCCAAGGTTTCGCATACTGAGTCATTTCATGAGGAGGTTCGAAACTCAAGCATCACTACAAACATATTTGATATGGATGCAAATGTCAATAAGGGTGAAGGAGTTTCAACACATGCAGCTCAAGGTAACCCTTCTATTGTTGTCTCATCTACCTTCGACTAATCATTTTTTGACATTACTGTTTCATTACCACCGTTTCTCGTACCCACTACATCTTAAATTCCTACTACCACTCATTCTCCTACATTTGATACTGTCCTACAACAACCTTTCATCACTTTATTCCCATCCTATTTCACTGATAGCACACCGGTTCAAGACAATGAATCAGAAGAAGAAGAGTTTCAGGGATCATTTGCAGAACTTGAATTTGATTCTGAAGAAGAAAAGATTTCTATTATATGATCATGTCTGACAAAAAATTTAAAATCTTGAATCGAAAACTCAATTCACTTTTGCAGTCTCAAGAAAACGCAGTTAGTCATCATTCTGTCTTACGAATTGAAGTGGCCATACAAGAAAAAGTTGAAATAACTACGGAAATTTGCTACAGAAGTACAATCTGTAGTTATCTTGCTACGAAATATGCTACGAAATGGCTTGTCGTAGTTATTTTCCTATGGAATTTTCTATAGAATTGCATTTTGTAGCTAATATTTGAATAGCTACGGAATTTTGCTACTGAATTAAAACCGTAGCTATTTTACTATGGATTATGCTATGGAATAGTTAGACGTAGGTATATTTGCTACAAAATTATCTATAGAATTACATTGTGTAGCTAATATCTGAATAACTACGAAATTTTACTACGTAATCGAAGTCCGTAGTTATCATGCTACAAAATTTGCTAGGTAATTATAAGTCGTAAAAGTTTTTAGCTATTTTGCTACAAAAATTGTTACAAAATCACAATTTGTAACTATTTTGCTATAAAAATTTGCTACCGAATCTAAGTTCATAGCTAGCTTGCTATGACATTTGCTACAGAGTCAAAATTCGTAGCTATGCTGCTACAGAATTTGCGACAGAATCATAGGTGGTAGCTATTATACTATAAAATAAAAACCATAAATATTATGCAATATATTTTTCAAATATGCAACTTTAAGTGTTTTGAGACTTCTCAAGCAAAGTTTTAAAAATTAAACGATCCCTAATGGCCAATGAATGAGTCCCTAATAATTTGATTGATTTTAATGTTTGGTACACTAGAGACTAACACATACGGTTTGAGACTAAAATTTATATATATATATATATATATATATATATATATATATATATATATATATATATATATATATATATATATATATTTTCGACATGCAGCGTTTGGAAGCTTCTGACTTCCAACTTTTAAGAAAACGCTAGTAAAAAAGAAAAAACTTTGTTCTATGATAAGAGCGTTTAGCTTTTAGCCTAAAAAACGCTCCAAAATCAAAAGCTACATGGATTACCTTTCAACAAAACGCTACAAAATCAAACGCTACCCGCTACAAGTTAGTTTTGTAGAACACGCCCGATGTAGAAGGTCGAAGCCATTCTTGAATTACGAGCCTAGCTTTTAGTAGCAACCACGTAACAAGATCCGCCAAAACCTGAGAAATATAGTTTATCGGGGTGTCACATCTCGTTAGTTCGATTATGGTGCTTTCGAATTCGTATTTAACCTGATAGAAGTAAATAAATAATTAAATATAGAAGTAAATAAATAAATTGCATTTTTAATCTTTATTTTATAGGACTTAATTATCTTTATTTCTTTTCACATAAGAAATGGTAAAAAATGGCATTTTTTTGTATAATCATCAAACATCACAAATTCATTCATCAAATCCCAAATGTTTATATAAACGACACTTTTGTTCTTTTTGTTCCTTTTCATTTCTCTTTTTAAAAATATATATGTATGTAATGTATGCTAAGAATATATATGTATGTAATATTGTAATGTATGCATGTGGATCCAAAAAAAACTTGAGAATGACCAAATTGCCCCTCTAGCAAAGATTTGACCACTTAACCCATTCCTTATATAGGTGAAATCCTTCCCATGTATAACATACGTAAATTATTTCTTCCATATATATCTTCACTCATTAGATGTATATTAATGAAAAAATAATATATTTTTTTTAATTTTCTATCACCATTCCCAGCAAAACAAATCTTCCAAAATATTCAAACCAACTTTAATTCCCTATAATCCCGCTCCTCGAAAAACAATCTCCCTATATCCACTCCAGTAAAACCGTTTCCCCATTATTTAGGCACAACTTCTCCACACAATTTCACTATACGTCTGTGTGTTGGCCGTGTGTCCTTTACTTCCAGGGCTGCTGCTTCCGGTTCTTTTGTTTCCTGCAGGTATGTTTTTTTCTCCGCTTTTATCCTTCCTTCGATCATCTTCTTTAGATATCAACAACAGTAAGAAAAGTACCATAATCGCTTCAACCTTTATCTACAACTACACGATTTTTTAACCACAACCATTGAGTTTCAAATATTAAAACGGACTAGACCTAACTACAACATGGTTTTTATTCTCTTTTATTCTTCAGTAGATGGTCTTATATGCTTCATCATATATGGTTTCTGCTGGTAGACATAAATATAGATGGATCTTACCTCTTTATTGTTTCTATCATCATATACGTTTGACAGGGGTTGGAATATCAGTTAGATCATTTTTTTGGCAATAGTATGTTTTATGTTGCTAGACATATATTTATTATTTGGATTAGGTTTTGTTTATCTATGTAATTTTTGTGGATATTGAAATATCATTACTAGTTAGGGTTTTGTTTCTTGGTATATATTTCACATCTTGAAAATGTAATGGAATAATGCTTATAATCTGATTTGTTCAGCAGTAATTTTAGGCCCCTGTGCATTGGTTTAAAAGATTATGAATTTTAATGGTATCACGTTCCTTCAAAATTCCTGCAAGAGTATTGTTATTACAAATGGATAAATTTCAATCTTTTGTAAATGGTATATGTTTTTATTTACTTATAATCACTAAAGGACCCCTATGTATTTTGTTATTTCAAACTTATAATTTTGGATTTCTAATTCACTTATATCACAGGAAAGATGTCTCCATTCAAAGTAAAAGTTGCTCCAACAAGGCCACTAAAGAACATGCATCTTTTGTTACAAAGACATGTTAAGGAAACCAAAAAGCAACAAAGGATGGGTCAAATAACGTGAGAAACATGGTCTATGAGAAGCACAAATAATTAGTGATACATTTTTTTTATTGATTGCATGTTTAAGATTTCAAGTTCGGTTTGACTATTAGAGTAATTTGATTGCTTTTTTGGACAAAGTGGTATTTCATTTGATGATAAACTATGTTTGTATTAAGAATTTATGTAATGTATTTAATTGTTTATTGCTATGGAATGTGCTTCGCCATTTTTTTTTTTGCAACGGAAGTTGATTGTGGTAAATTGACAATGAGAAATTTGCAACAACACTGTAGCATAGTAAGTTTGATACGAAAGTAGATTGTAGTAAATTTACTATGACATATTTGCTACAGAATTAGATTGTTGTAAATTCAATACAAAATAATTGCTATGACATTACCCGTGGTAGATTTTCTACGGAAATTAGCTACGGGGTTTGTTTGTAGTTAATTTGCTACAGAGTAACTACAGATTGGGTCATAGTTAATTAGCTATAGACTTGCTATAGAGAAAAATTGTAGTTAAGTTGCTATGGTATTGTTACGGGTGTGGTTCATAGTTATTTTGTTACGGAATAAGTCTGTTACAAATTCCATTGCAAAGGTCCTACGGATTCCGTAACAAACCTTTACTAACGAAGAATTTTGCTACAAAATGATTCCATAGAAAATTCCGTCTCTAATCATGTTTAGCTACAGAATATCATGATTTAGCTACGGAATTTTTCCATAGTTATTTCGCAATTTTCTTGTAGTGTGGATGTGATGCTCAAAGTAAACTTGAGAATGTAAATAGAGATCTTGAATCTAGGCTCAAAGCTCATTTTGACTCCTCTATAGTGCACTGAAAGAATTAAAGGTAGTTTCCAAATAGATACATGTTCTTTTTGTTCAGGAAGTTAAAATTGTTCGTGAGAATGTGAATCTCAAGATTCAAGAACTTCGTGATAATATGGCGATGGAAGTTGCTGAGTTGGGTCATAGTTATTCTAATCTTCATAATAAGGTGGATATACTGGATGATGCAATCACAAAAGTTGTGGAATGGCATACCACACTTTCTCCGAAAGTTGATAAACTTGGAGATGATGTAGACAAGGGATTTGAAAATGTTGAAAAAATTTTGGGGGAGCTGAAAGTTCTTATGGCCAAGAATGAATATTCGAAATATATGTTCAATGTCCTGAGTTGTTAACGTAAAAATTTCAAAATTTAGAGTCTTCAATTCACTCTGAATTGGCTCCATTTGCTATGTTTTCCCACTTCATGCCAATGAATGCTCCACCTGTTAACACAGGGATGCTATGGGGGAGAAAAGGGGGGTGTTGGCACATCTACGAAAATAAATGCTGGAAGTTGTTCTGGAAAGGTTGAAGGTGATGCCAAGGTGGTTGGAAGAGTTTTAACTACTCATATTCCAACATCTTTACCTACAACATCAACAAGAATTGTTTCGTCATCAACTACAACAACAACTAGACCAATAGCAAATGCAATAGTTATTGGGTCAGCGGATGGTGATTCAAGCTCTTCTAAGCCCAAGCTAACTGATGTTGATAAAGGCAAAGGTGTCGTCATTGAACCTTCGAAAGAAGAGGTCAAAGCAGCTCCAAAAGGAGTGGAAAAGCAAAGGCATATTCAAAGTATTCTGAGGCAACATGCAAATGATCCTCCTGGTCTGAACAAAGGTGATCCAGTTTAGCTATATCACTATGAATATATTGAGGCTTTTACAGCAACTAGAGGTATACATGAGTTTGATAAATTTCTCAAAAGAAGTTTCGATATTGTGAACTCAAATCTAAATAAACTAGATTTTCTAGTGAATAGAATGATGTTCCTAGATGAGCAGTTCGCACTTGCTGACAAGTACAAGGATAAGAATGAATATAAACGACTAAAGTTTCGTTTAAATGTTGTACTTGGGAAAAAGGAGGAGGATGTATGGTCTTTAGTCAATATAGTTCGAGTTCTTGGCATATCTAAAGACGTTTTGTTTGTGGGTATGTTAGAGAATTATCGCTATTATGCAGTCTGAGAAAACACTGTTCAATTTGACTTTTCGGTTGCAAACTTTCCCATTATGAATCTTCACGATTTGATAGTGGTGGTCATGATAATGAAAAATGTCGATGTTTCGAATCTGCAAGTTACGAGCAAAGAATATTTTATTTATTGGTTTTGCTCATTTGAAATTTTTTATTGATGGGTATTATGGAGCTTTGTCGTTAACAAATATTGAAATGGCTTAGGATGTGGACAGAGAAATTTATGTTCCACAAACTATTCATGTGAAAAGGCTAGTCTAAACAAATTTGAAGATGGAGAAATCTGTTTAAAGCCACTGGGAATTGTGTTCATTTGAAAGAATACAAAGTGAAACAATTTGAAGTTTTTTTTCCCTGTGTGTGATGTTGAAAAGTTTACAACACCTCATTACACAAATCTTCTGATTCGTATGAATAGCTGTACCAAAAATGATGAGAAGGAAAAAAGTGATATGCGAAAGATTGTGAAGTGGTATGCTGAGATCATCATCAGTCTTCAAAGATATTAATGACTTGATTCGTTACTGCTAATAAAGGGGGAGAATGTAGAGGTCGAGATTTGATGTGAGGTATTGAATCTTATTAATAGTTTTGTTAGATTGTAAACGTATTGCAAGGGGATCATAATGTATGAAGTTTAATGTTTTAGTCGCTTGTATTTTTTTTGTTCGCTTGCATCTTTCCTATAAATAGGGAAGTGTACTAGAGTAGATAAGTACTTCACCTTTTTGCTCATTCGTATAAACCTGTCTAAACTCGTTGTACTGATTGAAAGCTAATTTGAGTCAAATAGATTATATTTACATCCTGTGTTCATCAATCAAACTTAACTCTTGTCTCGTTATTCAATCTCGATCTTATTGCAACTTCACTGGTTAAATGACTTTCATGTTTAGTATCGTTGGATGACTTAACCTACTCTGCTTCCCCATTTCACATGATGCACATAAATGATCATTGTCAAATTTAAGGAGAGGAAGTACACACACCTGATCACCAAGAACCAGCTTGTTGATATCTTTGAAGTTGTGGTGCGAAAGTCTTCTATGCCATAGCCATCTTTCGTCAGAGTGAGCTTTCATGAGTAAGCAAATGGCAGGCTTCCCATATATCAAATTCAAATTTAATGAATACATTTCTCCTTTATGCTTCGACATAAGAAGGATTGCTTTGATTTTCTTTTGATGATTTTAGACCCTTCGTCATCAAAAGATACCTTTAAACCCGTTCCTAGAACCAGCTGTGAAACACTGATGAGGTTGTGTTGCAGGCTTTTACGTACGCCACTTTATGAATCAAAAAATCCCCATTCATTATCATCCCATAGCCTTTTATCTTTCCAAAATAGTAATTTCCATATTTCACATTTCCACCATCTTTGAGAAAACTAAACTCTCGCAACTCCTCATTCCTCCCAGTCATGTGACGCGAGCAACCACTGTCGATATACCATTCAGAGTCGAATTGCTCGTCACTTATTACCTGCAAAAATCAAACAAATTTAGGAACCCAAAGTTGCTTGTATCCTTTTGAACCTTTTACAGAAAGGGGAAAAGCAATTGCAAAATCAGACATATAAGTACATTTAACTAATGTGGTCTCATCTTTCTTTGTTATAGTGAAAACTTTTATCCTTTTACCTTTTTCGTTTGTTTATTTTGGAAAAGATTGTTTTTTCTTATATTTGATTTGAATTTTTGCGAACTTTTTTTCATCTTTCTTTGAGTTAGTATTTGATTTCTTGAATTAAACTTCAAGATTTGTAATTAACTTTTCTTATCCTTTATCTTCTTTGGATGATGCTTTCATGGGTTGAGAGTGATGAGGTTTTGGCTTCTCCATAGGCTTCTTTGAAAAAGTAGTTTTTTGAATAACTTTTTGTCTAGAGTCCTGTGGACTCTGAATGTGACAGTGCAAATATTGTTTGGGGTTCACATGCGAAGGGGCTTTCGCATTTCGATTGAAAGGTTTTTCATTACGAACATAGTTGGGATTTTAGGATTGCCAAAATTGCTTCCTTTCATTGAGATTTCTCTGATATCTCACATTTCTTTTCCGTGTTTGCACTGCAAGTTGCTCTGAGGACTTGTGGATGTTTGCCCTTGGTTTTGCTTTTCTTACATGAGAATCGTCCTTCACTGATTTAGGTTCGCTTGGACTTTCCTTAGTTCTAATTGGAATTCCTTTCTCATATCTTGAGCAACATATCTTCCTTTCACTCTCCACGATGTCTTTTCTGATAGACCGTTCGTTTCGTCTGCATTGTCTATAGGAACAGACCAAAAATACTCATCACATCCATCTTTATTGTCATCATCAACGAGGGATGTTAATTCAACTGTTTGGTTTTTATCTAGTCCTTTAGTAGAAAAAACCTGGTTAGGGACAGTTTGCACTTTGAGAAAAACCATTGCTTTAGCTTTTAAAATTTCAGGCTTATTTTCAGAAACACGTGCAAACTCAACTGATTTTTCTGAAATTAAAGCTTTCGCATGTTCAGTTTCATTTTTCAGAAATTCTGAGTAATTAATCTCGTGATCTACAAAAATTTCACTAATATCATTATCCTCATCGAATTCAGATGTATTTTCAACATTAGTTTTATTATCTGAACTCAATTTGGCATTCAATGAGTCGAACCGTTGTATAGTATCAGATAGTATTTTCTTCTTGTCATTTTCATCCAAAATTTGATTTAACATGTTTGTATGGTCTTTGGACTTAATGTGTGATACAATTCATTCCAGTCCAACGCTGTAAGCACCAGAAGTTTCTTCAAATGAAATGATGGATTTGCATTTATAACAATCGGCATCAATTTCATCTTCCTTAAATTCAAGAAGTAGTAAGATCATCTTGTGAATTTTCTTACCAATCTCACAATCAAGGTGCAACCAAGCAATATTGAAATAAAGCCTTTTAGCAATTAAACAAAAATGTTACATTGTTTCAAAAGCATTAAATTGTCTTGTTGCAAATAAATCATTTGATCCCTAGACTTAGACAAATCCAACTCGATCTTCTCTATCTATATGTGCCTATCATCACTCTTTGATGAAACCCTGCTAATTTGATCAGTTAGGTTAGAGTTTGTCAAACGAGTCCATTTTAATCTAACACTAATGCTAGAAATAGTGAATTTTAGGTCATTTATTTCAGTTTCATATTTAGACATAGTTATATTTAAAAGATTCAAGAATTAGAGTTACCTTGTTGACCAGCTATTCGTACACATTGATTTGTTTAGGAACTGGTCTTGCTGCGAAGCAACTATCATCTCCTCTTCCACTTTCAGTAGCATTCCCCTAAATGTGTGACCTTTCGTTTGTCACCATCAAGCACCTTCCTCCAAACTGCGAACTACCTTCATTCGCAATGAACGCCCTGCCATGTGTGCGCCTACGAACCTTTTCATCTACATAGTCTGTTGACCATACCTCAACTCCTTCAAACTACTATTCAACAACATTTTCCAACACAATTAAAGCATGCATAGAGTTATCAACATTCTTTTTCTTGTTGATCTCCTCTAACTTTTTCATTTGGTAAGCCTCATCATCTTCTCCTTCCTTCTACTCATTTAACCTTCTCAACATGCACTCCTTGGCCAAGTGATTTTTTGTCATGACAATAATTGCAGTCATAGCCGGAGTTACCCATGAGCTTCTTCTCCTTCTTTTCTTCCTCCTTTTGAGAACCATTTTTCTTCTCCTCTTTCACCTTTTCAGAGTTATAGTTGCCCTGCCTGTTTTGGTTCTTGTTTGAGGGGAACTTCTTCTTTGCAAACCGCTTGGGATTAGAAACCATTAAAGCATACCCTTCGTTTGTAAGCATGCATTCAAAATGATCAGACTTAGACCCGTCTTCTGCAATAGTCTTGCCCTTCACATTGAGAGCTAGAGATCCCATTCCAGAAACAACTTTCGCTTCTTTTGTCACTTCACTTTCGTGTGCTTTAAGGACTCCAACAAGCTTGGCTAAGGAATAGTTTTTGAACTGCTCATGTGCCTTGATGGTTGAAACCACTGCCATCCACTCGAGTCTAAGCCCGTTCATGAGCGTGAATTTTTGTTCGATTACATCACGTTCAATTCCGTGTTTCATCATCTTCCTAGAGGATGATTGTAGCGATTGAATGTTTGACTCA